CGTTCTAATCTTTTTTTGGCTGATCTTAACTTGTTGTTTATTTGTTTAATCTGTATTTGGCCACGCGTCTTTGTTTACCCTTGTTTGTTTTGACAGTGATCTGCAGTACAGGGTCAACGGCAATTCCCCAAAATTTTCCTTCTACAAGTTCACAAGTAATTTTCTGTTTCTTTGATTATTAGCCCTATTTATCCTTGTCGGATTTTCTTTTCGCCATAATAGAGTCTGAATAAAATTCTTTTCCTTTCTTTTCTTCTTAAGCTGCTTGATGTACTTTGCTATACAGACTTAGCCGTTTTAGTACCAATTTCTTTAGCTCCGGAATTGGTTGTGAGGATCAGCAGGAAGAGTTTAAAATTACTTTAGGCTAAAAATTGTAATTTTATCTTTGTATATTATTTTATAGCTATATAGTAATTTATTACCGTAGTAAAATTTTAGCAATATACAGGTTTGCTGCAAGCTTTCACAGGTCAAAATAAGACAAATCGGGTCCAAATCGGTATCACAAAATCCTGATTTGAACCAGATATTTGGCACAAATAGGACACCATTAGGTTACAACTCAGATTCATATTGGTATTCAAGACATATAGGGTGTGGTCAATTAAAACAGCCATTTTTACAATTTTTTGAAAAACGAGTTTTTATTAGATTCATATAAATTTTGATATGATTGACATTTTTCAATTATAAATGAAAGTCGATATGCATAATAAAAAATCACAATAATGTAAATGAAAAATTACATAAAGCTGCGTAGAGCCAGCACATCACGAGGTTACCTGATAGTCACATGTTATCTTTAGCCAATCAAAATCGCGAATTTGATTAATCCCGGATCAGTCCGAAAATCAAAACAAATGATTAAACTCAATTATCTCAAAATAAGATATATGTAAAAATTGGATGTTTTAATTAACCACACTTCATATTGGCAAACTGATAGCTCAATAGGTAAATTAATAGAGCTATTAGATAAAATTTCAATAGCCCTATCGATTTATTTATTGAGCTATCAGTTTGCTAATATGCCTTAAATGCTAATATGAACCTGAATTGTATCCTAATAGTGTCCTATTTGCGGCAAATATTTGGTTCAAATCAGATTCATATCAGGATTTTGTAATACCAATTTGAACCTGATTAGTCTTATTTCGACCTGTGTTTATAGGATCATCTATATAGTTACCAACTATTGTTTAATGTAATCAAAGTTTGTTAATATATTTTAATACAATTTCAATAGAGCAATGATTTTAAAATAAAATATTAGAAACAAATTAACACTTAATATATCACTAATATTTATTTAGTTGTATAGTTTCTAATTTAGGTTTATTTAATCTGTAATAATAAAGACAGAATTGCTAAAGTTAAAAAAAATAAATATATATCTTGTACTCTGCAATATGCATATATATTATACTCTATTTTGATTGGCTAAATTTGTAGATCTTTATTTTTAAAAAAATAAACAAATTATTGTTAAAACTTTTAGATTAGGATTAGATTAGAAGTTTTTTAAAAAATTTTTAAAATTTTTTGTATTTATATACAAAATTTTGTGCTGAACAAATTTACTTAATAAAAGTAAAAAGGCTATTTTAATAAAATTTAAAGATATTTGCAATTTTTATTTTTTTAACTTATTTTTTAAAAATTTTTCTAAATTTTATTAAGACAATCTTTCTTATTCAACTAAGTAAGCATGTCAGCACTAAATTTTGTATATAGGCACAAAAATTTTAAGACTTTTTTTAAATTTTATAGACTAATTTTTATTATAGTGAATATATATACACATTACACCTATACAAGCATATTAAACTTCAAAAAAAATATATTATACTTTAATTTGATTAATTAAAATTTCAAATAATTATTTTTAAAAAAATAAACTTCTGTCAAAATTTTTTAAATTAAGTGTTAGTCTAAAAATTCTTAAAAAAAAATTTAAAATTTTTTTTATATTTATATATAAAATTTTGTACTGTTTGCTTTGTAAAAGTAAAAAATTGTCTTAATAAAAAATAAAAATAAAACAAATATATTATATATCTTTAAATTTTATTTCTACTAAATAAACTTGTTAACAAAATTTTGTATACAAGCACAAAAAATTTAGTCAATCAAATTAGATTGTGATATATAAGCAAATTACAAAGTGCAAAATGTGTACTATATTTATTTATTCTATATTTTATATATATATACGTATTATATCAGATATACTATAGTGTATATTTAATATATACGTAGCTAGTATATGTGTACTTATAACTAAAAAATTTGGCAGCCATATGACCAAAATTGATAATTATAATTATACACTATATATACTATATAAATAATATTACTTTTGGTTCAGCCAATTAAATTATTTACTAATATATAATAGAATTTAAAATTTAAGCATACCACTGCCAAATAGTGTAAGTTTTTCTATAACGAAGTATGATGCTGAACACCATTGGTGTGTTTTAGTAAACTCGTTACTTTATTCCTCTTAAAATGGAAGCTTTTTATAAATTAGAATTCTTTAATTAATTGTTTGAGTACCTGTATATAGTAGTGTACACACGTATCACGTGAATATGTAAAAATATTTTCGTGTAGCCTAAATCTTATCACGAGATAAAGACAATGCCCGAAGTACCGTGTATAATTGTGGTTCGATAAAGTTCTAAAGAAATTCATAAATTTAACAGAATTTTTTTTTGATTTTTTTCTAATTTACATGGATAAATATCAGGTATGTTTTTTTTTCTTCCCCTTATACATATTGATTTAATAATTTTCAGCGTTAGAACTCCATTTATACTCGATATTTCCACTTATTTACAGAAAATTGAAAAGCTGGGAGAAGGTTTGTATAACACGTCTGCCAACACATTTTCATTTAATTGCAAATCTATATGCTAACGGTGTGTTTTCGTTCATATTATGGTTAAGGAACATATGGAATTGTGTATAAGGCACAAAATAAGGATACAAATGAGGTGGTTGCTTTGAAGCGTATAAGACTGGATAATGAGGAGGAAGGGGTAAATTGAATATTTATTTTTATTTCTGATCAAGTTTACCTATATCATCATAAATTGACAAATCGAATCGATTTAAGGTTCCGTGTACTGCCATTCGTGAGATATCATTACTAAAAGAATTGAAACACGCAAACATAGTAAGGTAGATAGATATAGGTTTTATTGATAACTCTTTCATTGAGTATTTTTCGTGTGTGCGAATTAATTGAGTCATTTTACAAAAAAGACTTTATGATGTCTTACATACGGAGAAAAAATTGACACTAGTATTTGAATATTTGGATTCGGATTTAAAGAAATTTTTAGATACTTACGGAGGTGATCTAGACGTACCAACAATCAAGGTACTAATATATTAATAGGTTTTTTCTTTTATTCAATTTATTATAACTGCATCTTCTATTAAATTATATTATTTACGTAACAGCAATTAATGTACCAACTTTTGAAAGGAATCGCTTTTTGTCATGAGCATCGAGTCTTGCATAGGGTAACTACAGATTAGAGATTACTATTTTTTATATTCATTATCCTACTATAAACATAATAATTATTGAGTTAAAACTGATAGGACCTCAAGCCACAAAATTTATTAATCAACAAGGTAGGCCTTTTTTGCGCCCTTTTTTTTTTTTCTTTTTGTAAAAATCGATTCTAAGTGGATATATTATCAAATTAGAAATGCGAGTTGAAATTGGCTGATTTTGGTCTTGCGCGTGCTTTTGGGATTCCAGTACGAAGTTATTCACATGAGGTAGAATAATTATTCTAGAGTTACGCCAAGCCTAAATTTATTCTGATTCAGAAAAAAACTTTATAGGTAGTAACGTTATGGTATCGTGCGCCAGATGTTTTGATGGGATCAAGGCAGTATTCCACATCTATCGACGTGTGGTCGGCTGGGTGTATATTTGCAGGTATATTAGAAAATATTTTGCAAATTTAGCAAATTTATCTACTTTTGGCAAAATTTTTACTATTATTATTTGTATTTAGAAATGGCTTCTGGTAGACCGTTGTTCCCAGGAGGTTCTATTAAAGACCAGTTATTAAGAATATTTAAATATCCTTTTATTTTATATGAAAAATTTTCCGATCTCTTGTTTCAGAATTTTATGCAGAATCCTTGACTACTTTGCACAGTTCTAGGAACCCCAACAGAAGAAACATGGCCAAGGGTTTCGCAGTTGCCAGATTACAAGGTATATGTCTATCTTCGTTTCAACATATAAGACATATTTGCAATATATCAATTATTTTATGATTGTCTTTTTTATGCATAGAATGATTTTGCCATTTATTCTCGGATGCCACTGGAGACACTTCTTCCAAAGCTAGATGCTCATGGCATTGATCTGTTAAGTGTGAGTTGGTTCATTTCATTGTTTTTGGCCGAAAACACCATATTTAAATATGAATATTGTCCTGATCTAAAATTTGTTCAAATTGCTGCAGAAATTAATAGAATATCAGCCTGAAAAGCGCATAAGTGCTGAAGATGCATTGAAACATCCGTATTTTGAAGAAATTCGCAAAAAGGAAACGTCACAACAGTCTTCTGTGTAAATTAATAATAATTTTATGTATCTGTGATCTTCTTTATTACCATTTTTGGCTAGTGTCTGTATAGTACCATAATATAAGTGGTATAATTTAATATCTATATAAAATAAACAGAAATTACAATACCGAAGATTTGACGGTGTGAAGAAATCTTGATTGTACTTTATATCTTAGGGTAATTTAATATTACTGTAAGTAGCCACACGGCGTATCATCTACGCATTAAAGTCATTATTCATAAAATTTACAAAAGAATGGGGTTTTGCTTTTTTTTAAAGAACATTTATCTTTATATCCATTAGGTTTAGTGCTGAGTAATATTAATTTTTTTAGCTATTAAATATACTTAGTTAATAAATAAAAATAATTTTAGCTTTCTTCATATAGTTATCCGCATTGGTCTAGTGGCTAGGATCTCCCGCTCTCATTACGGAGTCCCGGGAAGGCCGGGGTTCAATTCCCCGATGCGGAATTCGTAGTTTTTTTTTTTTTTTTTTCTCCGATGCATAATGGTTATACATAAAAGAATGTTTGTTTATTCTTGTGCAGCGAGATTTGATAATCTGCTTTACGTTAACTACAATGGTAGAACTTGAGATTTGATAATCTGCTTTACGTTAACTACAACAGTACAATGGTAGATTAAAATTTATATATTAGTTAATACCTGTCAATTTTCTTTTTTTTTAAAAAAAATGGATACTAATAATTCAAAAAATAACCTAGCGTCGATTGTTCTTGCTTCGAATTTAAATGAAAATCGAAAAAATATATATCCGTTCTGGTTTGGAGGCACGTAGAATTACCGTATTATTTTAGAAAAAAAATTCGACCTCTAATTCTCTTTTAATAACCATTTGAAACAGGAGCGGCAGCATGTACTGCATGCTTAGTCAGCCACCCCCTGGATTTAACCAAAGTTCGCATGCAAACAACAACGGGAGTAAACAGAGGAACTCTTAGAACTGCAATTGATATAATAAAATATGAAAAATTCCCGGGAATATATAATGGACTTTCTGCTAGTATTTTGAGGCAAATTACATATTCCACAATGAGATTCGGAGTTTATGACAAATTAAAGATGATGCTAAGCAATAATGGAGGTTAGTATTCTTAAGAGAATTCTAATTAAAGAACATTAATATATTCTATTATACTGTAATATGCTTAATTATTTATATAGTTAATGAACATGATTATCATTTATAAGACTAATATTTTTGTGACATTGATAATAATTTTTAGAAAACCTCTCATTTGTAAAAAAAGTGATTTGTGCGGCAGTATCAGGGAGCATCGGTGGAGCATTTGGAAATCCAGCAGACCTTGTAATGGTCCGCATGCAAAATGATGCAAAGCTACCATTAGAATTACGACGTAATTATAAGAATGCGTTTGATGGCCTTTATCAAATTATTAAAAAGGAAGGATTGAAGGGTCTTACTCGAGGTATGGGACCAAACGTGAATCGAGCCATCTTTATGAATTCATCACAATTAGCATCGTATGAACAATTTAAACAAATGTTACTGGAAACTCGATTATTTCATGATAATGTGGTCACTCATTTCACTTCTAGTTTTTTGGCGGTACGTTTATTAATAAACAATATATTTTTTTATAAACCATTGAGTAATTTCTATTTATTATTATTAAAATTAATTTTAGGGTTTCGTAGCCACAACTATATGTTCACCAATTGATGTTGTTAAAACTCGTACCATGAACTCAACTGGGACAAAGGTTCATATTTCTTCTTTCTTAATGTGGCGAAAATTGGCCAAAAATATTATAGCTTATTGCAATTCAATGGCTATTACAAATTTCAGTTTTGGCCAATTTATTAACATCAGCTGCCACATTTCTGCATTTACTTACAGAAATTACTGTGATCAGCAAATTCCATGTATAATAAGGGGAATTGGGATTCTACAAATATATGATTGGTCAAGAAATTAATAGTATAATTTTTAGCCAATCATAGGCATTTTCAAAGATTCATGATTCCCAAAATTCGAAATGAAAATCAGATTTAGGTTAACGTATTATTATTATTTTTAACAGCAAGGCGTTATGATCATGTTTACTTCGATAATTCGTAACGAAGGACCTCACGCATTATTCAAAGGTTGGGTACCGGCTTTTGTGCGGTTAACACCACAAACTGTTGTGACATTTATGGTTTTAGAACAGATAAAAAAGTTTTATGATAGGCGAATTGATTTAAGAATAAAAGCTGCTACAACTCATGATTGGAAGTAACATTAATGTGAATAATGGTGTGTGTTGTGACGCTTTTTTCTTTACGAAAAGAAGGTACGTTCGGTATATAAATATAATCAGTATTTTTATAGTCGCAAGCATCAGAATTTTTTTTTTTTTTGTGATAATTTAGTTTATTGGCTTCCCTTATTAATTTAAAGGGTATGTACTTAACAGGTCACTCTTATTCACACCAAAAATTTTACAAATTGATTTTCTGGTAAATTATTAAATATATTGGACATTAATTTACTATATATAATAATCAAAGATACTTTGCGTAATAATACACAGCCAGGTAGCTGCATAAAAAACCAAATACGGGTATTTGGCTAATTTTGTACCAAAAAGGGCAGACCCGCGCCTTAATATTATATGGGAAAGTGAACCTAATAAAGGTGATCTGTTAAAGTATCGTCATGAATTAATAATGAATAAACCTAAATTATCCGTTGGTTGACCATATATAGATACTTACAATGTACAGGCCCCAACAAGCTATTAGAAACAGAAGAACTAGTGCTTGCCGTTATCTGCATTTGGATACTAGATGTCTCGTTTACTGTATCACTCGAAGATAAACAAGGTTTGTTATCTTCTGACTCTTTAACTATGTCGTTAGGGTCGACTGAAGGTAACCAAAATACCTATAAAATAATTATTTTTTATAATTAATGACAATTGGCTCCGTAGCTAATAAATTAATTCAAAGAATAAGAAAAAAAAAATTTTTTCTTTTAATATTTCCAGTGAATATATAAAATATGTGATAATATTTTTAAATTCATATAAAATAGATTAAATTTTTTATGATTAGTGAATAAAATATTCGCGTTTTTTTTACTGTATTGAAAATATAAAAAATTAATATCAAAAAAAAAAATATATATATATATATAAGTTATTATCACTACAGAAATCTCACGAATACTTTATTCCTAATTGTAATCATTATTATTTTTTTTAAATTATGAATATTATTCAAATATAATTAACCTACTAAATCAGTGCATGCACTAATCATCAATAATTTTGTTGGATTAAATCTCGTGACTTGCGTTGGTCTAACATGATGATTTAATGTGTAGATAGGCCGAAGATCAATGTTTTCAGATGGAGTGTTGGATGAATCGATGGATTTTGTCGTGTCCCAAATTATTAAAAGACCATCTCGAGAGCCTTTATTAATCGATAAGATCGTGTTAGATGAAAAATTTTACACGAAAATAAAAATCAAAGCAATAAATACAATAACAATACCAGATATTACATATTGACCATCGGGAGTAAAACTTGTCTCTTCACCTCCCAGGCAAGCCGAAGCATTATCTAGCCCTACATGACCAATTAATCGTTGTTTTAATTGACCATTAAAAGCATCGACTAAATAATGAACATCGCCAGATGTAGTTATCAATATTTTTTGTCCATCATTACTAAACTTTAATCCAGTCCATTCAGGAGGACTTGACAGGCCATTTGAATCTACATATTTATCATCGATTTGAAATGTATCGAAAGGAGACTAAATACAAAAAAAAAAATATGAAACGATATAATTCTTCGATTTTGTTGAAATATAATAAAACGAAATTACTATTATACATAAAACTATTGACATTTAACCTGACCAAATTTTCGACTATCATATAATTGAACAGTTTTATTGCTACGTTTACCAATTGCAAACACAAGACCAGAAGGATCATATCCTAAGCAAGGTCTCTCGGATTGAATATCTATAAAATCCTATAAATAAAATAGGAGTATATATATATATTATATATATATATATATATGAAAAAGTTAGAAAACATCAATATATAAGACAATCTCGATGAATTTATCAATAATATAACCTAATAAGTACAATGGAGTTAGGTTGTCTTAAATCCCATAACCGAACACCCTCATCAATGCTTCCGGTCAAAAATTGATCATCTACGGGTGACATTTCTAAGGCGACTACCCTATAAATATAGTCAAAATAAAAAAAAAATAAAAAATAAAATAAAAATAAAAAAATAAAAGATAATATATAATGAAAACTAAAAGTACAGACCTACTTTGGTGCCCACGAAAATATCTTATGAATTGGTTGTCACGTAATGATAAATATCTTAGCGTATCTAGATCAAATTTCAAAAGTTTATATATAAAAATCGATTCTACAGAAAAATAAGGTAACCAAATACTTACCGTTACCTTTTGTCGACGCGTATACGATCTCGCTACTTGAGTGCGTAAACCTAGTTAGGTGTACACCATATTTTTTGCTAACTGAAAAACTTTCGTGTCTTTCAAAATTTTATACAAAATAAATCCTTTTCCTCGCTTGTATAATTAAAATTCGTAATAAAGAGCACGTGATAGAAAATAAGCAAAACTAAAACAACTACCTTCCAGTTAGACAATTATATAAGTTAATGGTCTCGTCGGTTGAAGCTGTAACACAAAATTCCCCAGAACAATCAAAATCAAGAGCTGTAATAGTTTGTGAATTATCATAAAATTCTTTCGCTTTCTTGAGATTTTGAAGATGAGCTAAGCTAAGGACTTGATTGGTTTGTTTATGATTATTTAAAATTTCCATTTATAATGGTAAGTAAGTTCTAACACCGAAGAGCTGTTTTAAGAGAAGTTTAACGACATACAGTACATCCAATGATCAACTATCAAAAAATCCAAGATTTCATGTGATTTAAATGCTAATCCAAATTTGCCAAATAAAAATTTCATATAAAATTATCAATTTTTTATTGGCTAAAAGATCAAAAATGTGATTATTAACCAAATCCATCGAAAAATTTAATATTAGCAATGCTGATTTTCTATCATTGACTCGCTAAGTTACGCTTATTAATCTAATCTTTTAGCCCTAAGCAATACATAGAAATACATAGATATAAGCATAAACTTAATAATATACAACATGCTAAATGGTATAGTTTTCTTTCTTGTTAGCTGTTTCCAGTATTTAAAAACTTATCAGTTATACATAGTTAATATAACCTGTAATAAATAGTGCTTCTAAGTTTTTGGTTAAATCAACTAATAAATTTTTAAAATTTATTAAAAATATAATTAAAAGAAAATTTTTTCTATAAAAATATACAAACAAACAAGCAGAACAAAACTATAGAAAATTTTATAATGTTATTCCTTTTAAAATTACTAATAAAATAAAAATTGCCGTAAATTCGAAAA